CCAAAGATGATGGAGAGTGGTCTAGCAACCACTAGAAATTATGCTACTGTTCTAATTTGCTTTGGTAGTTAAAGATGAATTTACTTTTCCTAAAATTCATAACATTTTCTCTAGGGCTGCATTTTGATTTTTTTTTAAACTTTCAAAAATAGTTACAAACTAATATTAAAAATAAGGCATTTTTATTTATTTCTTCCCATTTAGATGAAAGTAGTATTACTTGCCCGTCTGCATAATCTGTCCTTTGGAGCTTTTCCAACCTGTTAAAAAAAAAAATCAGCACAATTAAATAATTTTCATCATAAGGTATCTGTTACCCCACGTTTTAACCTTTTATTGCTATTTTCCTAATACAAAACAATAGTCCATTACAGCTACATAATGCAACACATTGCATAGCTTGCTTTCAACAGAAGATTTACTACAGATCATACAACTCAGAAATTAACATCACTGATGTCCATGTTTAATTCATCCTACTTAAAGTCTGGGACTAGAAATAAGCCCCCAAGGTCCTCATTCAAATCTCAAAAGCAGCTAAAAAATTCCCAGTGATTTCTACAATAAAAAAACTAGAGCTATAACACCAAGCGTGGTGTTAGAAAGAAACACTAGGTAAAAAGAGAAGAGGAAAGGAAGAGTAATGCTCCTGCATATTCATTGATGGAGAAGGTCTGATAAGAAAGTTTTCAGACAGTTTCCATGCTTTGCCTATCTGAATTCTTCAGATGAGACACCTCAATCATAACCTGTTCAGGAAGGTTACTGTGAGATCCAGTTTCTACAAGTTGAATCACATGCTGAAGCACATACACTTAAGTGGAAGTTCTCTCTTCCATAGCACAGAAAAGAAAAAAAAAAGTAATGATTACATCATGGCAGAGTCTAAAGAATAGCTGAAGTGAGATTCAGCTGAACTGATCCATCATGCTGTTTCAAAGTCTGAATTCAAGACAACTTTCAGCTGTCACTTTTGGGACTGCTTAAGTGCCAACTGATTTGGAAACTATTTCTCTGGAAGTTGGTTTGAGATAAGCTGTGCTACCGCTTCTATAACACAAACCCTAAGGACTAATTCCCAGCTTTCAAACATCTGTAAATAACTAATATAAGTTAGCAACATTTGTTATTACATGGTATTTCTTTGAGGTAACAGATGTGTGCAAAAACAGTTAGTTAATAAAAAACCTTTATCGCTTCTCCTGGGGGTGTTAATCTAGGCAGAAGTAAAGGTGGTGGATTTGCATAAAGGAATGCAGAAAAAATGCAAAAGAGTTTTTGCAGAAGAAACACCTACTACAACTGTATACAACTGAGCCTATTTGCTGAAAGGAACAAGGAAGATGATAGTCTCCAATTCTTACAGAGCTAAACAAAAAGCAAAAGCAGAAAATGAGAGGAGCAAAGGAGAAGGAAATAAGAAGGCAAGACAGCAAACTCCTGTGGGTTTTGTGTTGGGTTTGTTTGGTTTGTTTGTGGTTTCTGGTTGGTTGGTTTGGGTTTTTTGTTGGGTTTTTGTTTTTTTTTTAAATTACCGTCAACACTTGTCTCTCTATATCTGGACTTTTATGCTGAAAACCACTTAACTGCTGTTCTACATCTGGCAAACCAACAGGCAGATTCCAGTTACACAATTTAAACAGATCTATCGCTTACTGGCAGTACTCTTCCTAAACTGTCCTCAGTCCTACACAGAATTGTCTTCCAGTAAACAGATCCACTGCATATTTATAAGCATGAAAAAACTGAAGTTTAGCAGGGACAAGACTGCTAAAACTCATAACAAACAAGCTGCATACTGGAACAGAAGCTGATTTACAATGATAGCGATAGTTAAAAAGGCTCAGCAACATCCACAAAATGTTCCGCATTTTGCAGAATAAGAACTCACACATGCAAAACGTGGATCACAACGTTTGGAAAAGCTGCTGCTTGTGGGAACCTGAAATTTTCATGGCAATAACTTACCATGAAACAGGCACAGAGAAAAACTAAGTTATTTATTGTTTTCTAAGTTAAAATTACATATACGCACACACGTGGGTTCAAACTGTTTCACAAATACTTTTTATTTATCAACTACAAGATAACATTGGACATAAGTCTTCAGCACACATTAACCAGTGCTGATCAGCTATTACTTAAAGCTGCCTGTAGTTGAACATTCCACAGATTTGATATTTTAAAATATGCATTCCTTCTTCAATTCCAAAAGTTACCTACATAATAAACCAAATAAGCAGAGGCTTGTTGATCCTTAAATCAAAGATATTCCAAACTTATTTTAGAAAAAATAAAACAGTGGTTTAAAAATACTGGTTTCACTTTCAATTAATAATAAAAAATCAGCCTCAAAAATACTGTCACAATACTGCGCTCACCTTGTCCATTAGATATGTAGCAGAGGAAAGCCTTTTCACTATGAATGTATTCCACATCATCAGGGCGATACCTAGAACAATTACAAACTTGTAAACTCCAAGTGAATAAAAAAGATCTTGCAAGTATGGCGTGAAAAGCCATGAGCCACAGTTCCCTTAATGGGGGGGAATTAAAAAAAGATGGCAAAAGAAAGAAGAAATTGTCAGCTACCCTCACTGCTTTATACCTGGACTTGAGATTCCAGATTTCTTGGGAGGAGACTACTTTGGTGAACAAATACAGTCAGAAGTGCAATGAATCATTTGTTAAAATTATTATATTATGCAGACGGTTAAATGTTGCAGGTACAGGGAAACTTTGGTGGTAAGCATGAAGGTTTAAGACTAGTGGCTTTAGGCACAGAGTACACTTATTTGCATACATAGTCTACAAAAACAACAAGTTTCATCACATTCACAAGGAGACTATCAAATGCATGAAATGCATGAAAAGTAATTGACTGCAAGAAGCATGTGCCACTATTTAAATACAAATAAAAAAATAGTTTCAGAGTAATTTTATTTTAAAATGTTTTTAGTTTAACACATTACCTTCATCTAACCATTTTCATAGTTCAGATGGAAACTCAGTTTCAACATGAAAAACATAAGCTTGAATATCAGCAGAAAGTTTTGGAGGGTTTTTTGTTGATTTTCTTAGACAAAATGGCTATCAATACTATGAACCACATAGATTTATATAGTCAAACAGTCATTTATTCCGTTGTTTTACAATTTCAGCAAAGATAATTTTTAATAATAGCTTCATACTTACCATGCTGAACGTGAGCATTAACGATGCATCTTAGATGATCTATAGACCTAACGAGAAAACATGCTTCCTTATGTAAAACAAAAAAGTAAAAGAACAAGTTATTACATTATTCAAAACTTACTTCAAATGTAAACTACTGATTCTTAAAGGGCCCAGGTAGATTATTTTAAAGCTACTATTTTTTAAGTTATAAAACTTGTAAGTTATTCTGATATTACAGCCTTCTCTGCTACTATCTGACAAACATACATGTACGTGGCAAACTATGTTTCAGTAATCGGGAAACACATTGTGATTTCAGCACTACTTTCAGGGCTTTGTTTTAGTAGATGTACTGCTAACATACGCTTTGCTGAAAGGCACCTCCACTGACTACAGTCATTTTTCAAATACAAAATCCATTTGTGCTAGAAAGATTAATTCTCACTCCATTTCATTGTGATGGAGTAAGTTTTTAACAAAGGAGCCTTCTGTTTAATAGCAAGGTGTTATGTTGCACAGATCTAACGAGTGCTAATTTCAATTTTAATACCATCTGAACTTAAGGCATTTTCCAATATAAGAGAAGCGATAGAAGAGCAGTGGAAAAAAAGGAATTTTTTTTTTCCTTTCTCCTATAACAATTTCCAGCAGTGGTAAGGGAATTCCCAGGAGCTGACAAGAATATTCAAGAAATCTCTTTTTCCTCTTTAAATGGAATGTATTCTAGTCTAACAAATCTAGTATTCTGTGATCTGTTTTAGCGTATCTAGAACAGAGGAAAGGTTCATCACTATTTTGCAGTACTTAAACTGTTTTGTACTTGCACAAAATACAGTCAAAACCCTTCTTCATGCTGCTTATTTGTATCCAGTTGTTAGACCTCCAGTTTTGAGAATCGGATAGCTTAGAAACATACAGTCTTTGTCTTTGTGAGGTGCCACTCAGCCTCAAGACCTGCATTCACTTTCTCAATTCAATTTCCCAGAGAAGTTGTAACTAGTATGCTTTCCAAGTCAATCTTCTTAACAAATGTTTTCATGGACTATTGCAGATTTGTGAAACTGCTTCTGTTGAGTTGGTCTTAACCATTACTCCCTGCAAACAAAATTTTTTTACCTCAGGGTCCTTATTCCACTGCACTACATATTCCCAACAGCAATGTGCATGGAGTACATCCACTTCAAGACTACATGGAAATTGCTGATACGCTAGTTGCAGCAGCTCTAGAAAAAGAAAATCTCAAGTTACAAGACAGACCTCTTCCCACTATAATTTCTGCTACTTCACAACAGGAGCAACTACAACATCTCTGCAGACATTTAGAATAAGAAAAATTCATGTTAATTTCTTACCTAGGATTGTTTCCAAGCCTGCATCTACTTCTGGTTCCTCAAGAAAGATATTAGTATTCATTTCCACAGATTCTTCAGTATTATCTGTATTGGTTTTATGTTGGGCCAGATTCAGCACAAGAGGACTGAAGCCTTGCTTAAAAACCCACTTTGCTACAGTGTCAGCAATACCTCCTAGGACATTAAAAGAAAATAAATTATGAGATATAGTCAATGCATGCCAGAAGATTTATGGTTCAGATTCAAAGGACAAGAGAAGAGATAGAAGTTTAAACTAATAACATTAATTACATAAGGATAACTTTGCCAATTAGAAAACTTCCTAATCAACTGATTAGAGGTTTACAATGCAGTCTTTACAGTAATACTCATTTGCAGTTTTAAAACGCTATTCTGTTGGGTTTAAAATTAAAAAAAGTAACCAGCAGAACAATTTCCAGTGCAGTGTATATCATAAATTAAGGTTTGAATGGCTCAGAAATCTATTAGAAAGACAATCAACCACCCTTCCAAAAGAAAAAAATGTACCTTTTCCAGCTTCAAGCAATTTCTTTACAGAAAGCCTGCCCAAGGGCTCAGTCTGGAGTGATGAAACTCTTTTTGTCCTTTTGCTCACTTTGCTATGCAGTAGTGTTTGAAGTATCAGACAATCCTCTAACTGTTTCAGCAGAAGTTTCCAATATTCCGCATCAAGGGAAAGTGCTTCCCAGGATTCTGTGTCCGAACCTACAGTTATTTGGGCAAACTAACAGAACATGTGAACTGTTTTAAGTCTGTTCACTTAAAGTAGCACAGTTTTGTTTAAAAAAAAAAAAAAAAGCATAGTATTAAAATTGAAAGCTATATCCTAAGAGCTACTGCATTTGAGAGAATAACTTAGTTCAAGGCACATACATTAACTGTTATGCAAACATCAATTAATATCCCACACTGCTCACAAGATGCACAGATTCTTACAAACATAAGGAAATAAAAGGGCCTGAAAGGTGATTTTATAGTCCCATTTAATTGAAAAGTGGGTTAGAGTGTCTTCAAAAAGATTTAATTCTAAGTCCTCCACTATATACACATTCTCTACATATAATCCACCTACATTTAAATTTCCTAACATTTAAAAAAAATATACCATGCACCCAGAAACACTGGATCAGACCACACCACAGTTCTGTGCCTTATTCTCAGAAGCTGGACCATTAACAGTTTTAGGCTTTAAGCCTAAGGATGATAGGAGAAAAAAAAAAAAAAAGGAAGAGAGGAAGAGATAAATGGCTTTATGGAAGGGAAGTTCTGAGGGAAATAAAGCTGTTGCTTTATTCTTTTAAGAGCACAAGAGAATGTGACAATGGAGAGTGCGTATGGGTAAAGCATAATATGTTGCAACATACCAACATGCCTATTTGGGCAACGCTAACAATTTCAATATACAGCATCGCAACAGATAAGGTGAATGTGCAAAAATGCTAAAATTCTTCCCAGTAATCTAGTTATAATTTATAAGGCAGTCTACAAGACTGAACACCACCTAAACCCCACCTCATCTATTAAGGCAAGTAGTAAAATTCAAATATGCCTAGTGCTATTTAGGAATGCAATAATATTTTTCATTGTGAATGGCAATGCTGTGTGGAGTTTTACAGTGTAAATCACAACTTTGTGAAGATACTTATTAGCAGAAAAAAAACAATCACCCATCACCTGAAGAAGTAATGCACAGTAACATAAGGGCTAAGAAATTTCACCAGTATATTTAACAAAAAAAAAAAAAAAAATCAAAACTGCATTAAAACAGGTTTACCATCCCAAGTTCAGTGAACTTCTGCAAATTTTATGTGGAAACTGTGTAGGCTTTAAGTTTGTCAACATCATTTGCTATTAAGCGAAAAACTCACTATACAGTTCCCATCACATATTTAAATATGTTCAGTAAATAATTCTGATATATCATTCATTCACCGCAGCACCATATTCTTCAAATTCAAACACAAATTTTCAGGCTTGCAGGATGGCATGTTAGAACAACGACAAATCAGTGCTGAGGATGTTATTCCCTTACAAAGACAGCAATTTGCACGGAACTGATACAGTAACTAGAAGGGGAAGGTCCAAGATGACTTACCTTTTTCTCTGTCACACACTCAATTATCTGTGCAGTTACAGAATGCCCAACGTGAGCAGATAACAAGGCAGCGGCATTATTTTCAGACTGAACACAAGCTGTACGCATTTGCTGCCACCACGGGGAAACAGACTGGGTATCCCATGACTCATCTATAGCAACTGCAGCGAAAGGCAGAGTAGGAAACTCAATGTGGGTCGTTGGGTGTTAACACAACTAAAGCAGCAACCAACCCTGAAAGCAGCACTTATTAACAGCATTAATTTGGAGCAATTTCCAATTACTCTACATTGCTTTATCTTTTTCTAAATACGTAGCATACCATTTCTAGACTACAACTCACATTTAAAATAAAGAGTGGAACGTGAATTACTTGTTCTCCAAGTTTAATTTGTAGGAAACAGGCAACAGATCTAAATCACTAGGTAGTAAAACCTGCTGCACGTTTACTAGATCTAAGGGATATTACAAAATGACACTTCAACAATGCAGACAGCTTCTTCTGTGATTTCAAGATGCCACATGTATTCAGTGCATTCAAGGTGGCTCTCTTCAGGCTGCTTTGTGTTCAGCAGAATTAATTTATTCAGCCAGCAGCAGTAGCTTATTCATGCTTCCAGTTTCAAGCTGATAATGGTGCCCTATGATGAACTAGACATAAGGGAACCTGGCACAGACATATCCAATAGCAGCTCTGCGTAAAGTAGAAGAATCAGTATTCATTCATTACACAATTTACCCCAAATAATGGCAAGCTGACATTACAGAGTCCCCCTCAAGTTACAGAGATGTTCTATATACAAATGCTGCTAGAATAATGAGTTAAAGCAACTCGAAGGACTTCTGAGAGCCAGTCAGCACAAGGGAGAGGGACAGGATTATACAGCCAAAAAGGGAGGATGCGAAGCTGGACAACCACCTCCTGGTGCCAAACAGGAGTTGTGTCAACTTCGTGGACAGTGAAACTGCAGGGCACGAAGGCAGCCCTTAATTGTAACACTCTTCAGATTTTGACTGGATTTTTAGTTAGTTCATCAACATGCAGCATTTAGCTCTGTTACACAATTTGAGGGAGGGGGGGAGGAAACCCTAAGTGATAATACAGGCTAGTCAGAGTAACAAATTTATAATAATAATATCAGTTGTGTTTAAGTGTTCCAAATGCACATTTCACCTTTCATTTTGCTCAGAAGTGACAGCATAGTGTGAAGGCAACTGACAGAATCTGGTTTGTCTAGAATATCTTTTTCCTTGGAAAGCCATAAATTGAGAAGGAGTGACTGTAAAAAAAAGAGAATATGGAATTAAAGCAACAGAATTAAACTCTAAGATTGCTATATACCTAATGCAAACGCTTTCTCAAACAAATTTTGTGTCATGGAGCAGAAATGTTATATCCATGAACCCTTATTATATTAACATAGAAAGTTAAAAATATATTGCAAAAGGCACCCTATGACAGACTTTGAAATGAAACAATCTGTACCTTTCATTTAGAAAGATACCTTAGAAAAAACCCTCTTCCGAAGGCACAGCCATCTAATACCAGTATGTTAGCAATCTCAGCTTGGTAAACATTACTAGTTATTAATATTACAGCTGAAAATCTTAACACAGGCAAGTAATAGTGAAATAGGCATTTCTCTCTTTAGGTACTGGATGGAAGAAAAGTAGCAAAAGACTAAAATTACACGCAGATGAAAGATAAAGATGATTGTCAGAACACTACTAGAAATTGTGAAAAAAACCTCACTTTTAATTCTTTTAAAGCTTCCTTGCTTACAAAAAGGAATTCTAACAAATGTTATCAGTACCTGAAATTAACTACTTTTACAATTTTTGCTTCTTTGTAGAAGAAACCTTCAGCAAATCTTCTTGTAGTCCTAAATGCACACTCTGGGCATTCCCACTAGAATACCCAAATTTTCTACTAGAAGAATTTTTTTTTTTCATTGACATCTCTTAAGTAGGAAATATGAGCACCTAAAGAACTGAACGTGGGTGTATTTGAACACAGGCTGAATACAGCATTAATCCAAAAGTCAACATTCAGAATTTTTCCTTTCAAGGTTTTGTTTTCAAAATACTAAATCAAAGTTTTAAAGTACACAATAAATATCTTACCAACAAGATTTGAGGACTAAACCCTGCTGATTCCAACACATGACACATTTCCTCTGTAGAACACTCCCCACACAAACACTTCCAGAAGAAAAAACTGCCTGAAGCAAAAATTAGTTGACATTATGAACAACATCTAAAGTCACAGTCTCTCCCCTTACACTTATACAAAAGATCACCTATCGATGAGGTCCCAGTGAGTGCAATACAAAGGACTAAGTTACATCCAAAGACACCCTGATGGTTTACCCTTAGCGGAGAAGAAGGTTCATTACAGAGGACATAAGTGTTCCTGACACTACAGGAGTCATACGGAAAATGGGTTTTTAACAAAACAAAAGTTATTGTACTGCTTGGATTACACATTTTGTTCAATTCAAAGAATGGCTTGAAGTGTAGGACAAGTTTATCCCTGGAGTAACCCCTACCTGTGTCAGCATGTTGTATCTTACATAGCAAACTAGTGGTACTTGAACAAATTCAAAAACCCAAACAATTACATAATTTATACCTTACTATCACTACAAAAAGTTTGAGTGTCCCTTTGAGGAAGAGGAAAAATGGAAAAAACAAGATCTTAAAGAAACCATATAAACTGCTCAGCATGGCATTCATATTTCTATTATATTTGTTTACAGCTGAACACCCTAATAAGCTACTGGTGATCCCTGTCCAAAGGGGTGGGGAGAAGAGTACTTCTATCGCAGTTCTTAAAACCAAGTATAGTGTTATGGTAGAGAAAATGCAAATTCTAGCATTACTTAGAAACAGCCTTTGATCTTCATAGAGATGAAAACCAAGCTCTTCTGCCTAACTTTTAAATCCAAATTCCTCTTGAAGTCTGATGATTAAAGCCAAAAGAAGCAGGAGGCTACAAAGTGAACACCATATAACACATGTGCACAGAATTCTGTGTTTGCACAAAAATTTCCCCAGAAAAGAAATAATCTGGAAAGACAGTGCCTTTGAGACTGATTTTAACTCAAGCTGTTTCCACTAGTTATTTCCCAAGAGCCCCTTAAGGACAGTTCTGAACAGATTTGCAAACTAAAGCAGACTATAGCCAATAACCCTCTCCCACACCCCAACGGACACCCCAGACACTCTCCCCATCCGTAATATTTCAGATCAACATTGTCCACAATCTCCTCAACTCCACAAATGAAGAGTCCTTATTCCCTCGCCTAATGCTCCTGTGCTGCCTCTGGTCAGCTCCCTCATCTCTGAGGCTAAAGTCAATCTCGTCATTAACAGAACTCTTGAGGTGCTGTGACCACAAAAGAAACAGCAGGATACAGCTGCTCTGTAAAGTACCTAGTTACCACTGTCCAGCTCCGTGGTGTTAATAAACGAATGAACAGTGATAACACCACTTTAGGGTATAATTATATCCACAGATGAAGTTAACTTGTATTAATATCCATTTAGGTAGAAAGACTTGTCCCATGGCTAAAGGCAAGAGTCTGGAACTAGCATTGTCACCTGCTACTTCAAGGCAAGCCAGCCTCCAAATTAAGGCTAAAATATTTGTACCATCTTAGATTATAATCAGTCTTTAAGTAATTTGACAAACAGTTCAGTAGCTCTTACCTAAAGCCACAAATTCTCTGTCTTCCATATTTTTCACATTAATCATGTCCTTTTCATATTCCAAATACTCTAAGAACATTTTCACAGACAACACATCATCCTTCTCATCACCAAACTGAACAGTAGTTTGGGTGTTTTCTTTCTTGTAGTTTTCCAGTAAAGTTTGGAGCCTATGAAAATCTTTTTCTTCCAGCCGAAGCAGTTTAGCCAAGTCCTTAAAAGCAAAAGCCCAACAAAACCAAAACCAAACAAACAAACAATCACACATCACAAGACTAATGCAAGCAGATGTTTCTCAAAACACACTAAAACTTAGAACAGAAGAGTCAAAATATTTTGAACATTAAAAATGTATTTTGAAAGGGCCAAAATAATTGAATAATCTCAAAATTAATTATTCATATTGCTCAAATGAAGACCTTGTCCAGCTTTATTTTGAAGGACTTCAACAGATACATTTCCCATACTTAGACCTTGCTCATAGTGAAACAATCACCCATCACACAAAGCCCATCTAACACCACTCTGCGTGGCTTTTATAAATGTATAGGCATTTTTATAAATTATATCAAAAACAAGCCATATTATGATGCTACACAAGCAAATATCAGAATTTGTAATTTCTACTGGTCCCAAAATACCCCTCCAAAACTAAACAAAGTTAGGAATATGCTATGTACTTTGAGTAAAGGACTCAGATCAGGAGATCCTCATTCTATTTGTACTTTTGTCTCAACTTTATGTGACTACAGAATAATATTAGATAGATGAATTACTAGGCAATGGTACAGGGGGAAAAGAAGGCATTATAAAACAATTACTTCAGTAAAAGTTCCAAGCCACAAAAACAGGTAACTTGCTTACCTACTTATTTAATCCGAGGCCTTGAAAACATATTTTTATGGTTAAATCATCACTCAGTTCTATAAGACAACTGAATTTTGAATTTACTCACATTATCTGAGGGTGGAGTATCTTTCTGTATGCTTTGGGAATTTAGTTTGCTAACTAGTTCATAAAGATGCAACAGCTTTAACTTGTTTGCGCAGAACTGCAGTAGTCCTTCATCCACACACTCGAGCTCTGAGGAGAAATAAAACCGCATGGGAACTTGAATGTATAGCCTGGAATAGCGAAACATACTTCGCAGGTGCATTAAACTCCTCCTTCATTAGAACTGGAGGACTTCTGTCTCAGTGTAATTTTTTGATACACTGCTGCTTGCAGTGATTCTATTTAATTCACGCCACTATAAAAATTATTTTTACAAGAAGTATTAGAGAAAGATATCAGGCACATTTTTTAACTGAAGGAGGCTGACAATGTGGAACTCAAAGACAAATCTATTGTCTTTACCTGGTTTAAGGACAAACCAGAGACCAGCAAAAATTTAAATACACTAAGTCTCAAACTATTTTATCAAGAATTACATACAAAACGATAATCTTTTATTCATTATGCCAATATTTTAAACCTACTCCTTGCATCAGAAGAGACCTTGATGTCTACTGATATGAATTCAATTTCATCTCTGCGAGACACTGCCTTTTGTATTTCTACAATCTTAGTCTCAGAAAGTTCATGTATGTATCGATGTTTAAATTTCAGTAACAAAGCAATGAGCATATAGGATGCTAACACCAACACAATGTCAAAAAAAAATCTATTCCAACTTATTCATTTTTAAAGAAAGCATTTTACAGAGATACTAAAAGAACCTTTCTATAGAAAAGGCATCTCTGAATATTTCATATTCACCTGAAACAGCTTCTAAACACTATTTTCTCCCTATGAACCCTTAAACACTTTTGATAAATTGCTATTAAAAATCCTACAAACAAAAGAGAAACACACAGAGCATGCCTCACAGTCACTTGACCTTTTCTTCACAACCACAGCATTCACAGAGTCCAGCATCTGTTTGTTATCTTCTACCTACTAAGCACAAATGGAAGGATATGCCATTACTCTTCTGAAATTAGAAGGCTGGAACATCAGCCAAGTTTGTTTCCTCACAGTCACAATAAACAATATTATGTGTGACAATAAGAGAATAATGATGAAAACTAACACACTCAGACAAAGAGACCTCAGTAAGTGTACAGTTCTGTCAACCTCTCTTCAGTGTGAAAGGGCATGTTGCAATTTTTCTTTGTTTTTGCAGGAGTTCCAATAGAAATGGATAATGCTAGTGATTTAGAATGCCAGACCAAAATTAGATAGAGAACTGCACATGTGAAGTTCTCAATCTTCTCTATCTACTTCAAGAAAATGGTAAAAAAACCCCACTGATACAAGTGAAAGAAAGATTTCCCCTCAAGGCTTTGAAATTACAAAGACGTTATCATGTTCTCACTAAGGCAGAACAAAAGGACACAGCCTTTCTAATTGACAGGTGGTTTATTCAGACCTTTCACACAACAGTGGTAGGGATTTCTTGACTCCTATTGCTAAAGCCTCACCTTCTAACAAGCTGAAATGAATCCAATGACAACAACAACAAAAAGAAGATCAGCCATCTATTGCTGAGAAGTCCGAACACATGCAAAGGAAGTAGCAGGCACATGCTTCTTCACACTATTCAATACCCAGCTGGGTCTCCAAAACTGAGTCACCTCAAGCACAGAGAAGGTTCTCCCAATTTAGAAAGATCCAAGTATGTAATTTCAAAGAAGCAATCTTGCAGACTTTCAGCAACAAGGTTTTGAATGGGTAATAACATTGTCTGACATTGACTCTGAAAACTCTAGCAAAACATATGAAATATAACTTCAGTGGAGTTTACCAAGAAAAGATACTAGACATCTGGTGGGTGTTCAGATCCTCAATGGTAAGGATTTTGTCCTCCCAGTACATTAAAATTCATAGATCCAAAGTACCATATCTTTACTGTCTTCCTTGGAGAGAGAGAACAAACTAAAAATTCTACAGGCAAAACTCAGTGAAGGCTTCTTTCTGAAGGAAGCTTTTACTGGATGCAAGTATCCAACCCAGTTTTTGGTTTCGTTTTCTTTTCTTTTTGAATATAACCAGAAGTTACTAGGCACATGGCAAGTATAGCAAAGCACACTTACTCGCAAGCTATTTGCAGTCTGCATTAAAAAACACCCAACACGTAGAAGCAACATCCTGTGCTATCTAGCAGCAAAACTAAGCAGACCAAGTCTGGTCTCCCTGTGGAGCAGAATACTTCTACAAAAGCCTTACAGCACTGCAGATAAAATGCAAATGCCTCTCCATATTTGCAAAATAAATATCCACCTACCCTGTTTTTTTAAATTATCCATTAATGTCTGAGTGATGTTTGTGAGAGATGAAAGCGGCACACGTTCACTTGTCAATATACTTTCCAGAGCCTGTTAAGCAGATGTTCAACAGAATTAAATATTTACTTAATTTTACTGTAAAAACATAGAAGGTAAGCCAACAAAGCACAACTTTGACAACCATTTTTCATCTGTGTTTTGTCTTCACATATACTTGTGGCATAATTTGATCCCACAGAAAGGTCTGCTCTCTTTTTATTATTTTCACTTTTATCATGGAAGATGCCTTGGGGAAGTCACAAACCAAAATTAATTCCAGTCAGTATGTTGATAAAAGAAAAAAAAAAAAAAGAAAAACCACACCGAAATAGCTCAATTATTTGCTTCAAGTAACTCTAGGAAAAAATAACATATTTTGAAAAATCTAAAAAGACTTAGCACTCTAATCTGATAACACAATTTTTTTTTCTAATATTAAAGTATACTGGCTTCTAAATATTCACCTGTTTCTTTGTAGCAGGGTATTTGATATCAAGTATTAATTCCTTTGTTTCAGTTTCAATCAAATCTGCAAATAAAGACAATCACGACTTCAATTCATTTATCTCAAATGCATTCTGAAAAGCAAGTCGACACGCACCAGTTAGGATGCGCATGGGTTCAGACTATAGAGATGAAGACACTATTACAGAAGTTGCCAAAATAAGCTTGGGGAAAGTGAAACAAAATAACAGCTCAGTGCCATCTCTTACTCCAAATCTGACTTTTGCAAGAAATCTGTATTTCTTACAGGAAAAAGGGTATCTGGAGTCAAATGCTGAACTCCATTAGCTAGCATAATGGGTTGCAAATAGGCCATGTTTTATGCAAGCACTCAAATGACTTAAAATTTACATGGCAGATAAGGCTCATACTAGATCCTTGTATGAGATAAATTTAATTTGTCAGCTTATAAAAAAACCAAGCTACTTAAAGATCGTAACTCCTAGCACATACAGCTGTAAGAATATACCACAATCATACCTGTGTTTGTACATTTACAGGACAGATAATAAAAGAACCATTTGATAATATACAATCTTAAGAAATTATGCAAGAGAACCTACCCGGATCTGAGGTTTTAGCTTTGAGTAAAGCATTTAACTTCTTCACTAGATGCATATCCTTTGCTCGCTCACTCTTTTTATCACTGAAGGGAAATAATTTTAATTGTATGAGTGAAGAGAACTACAATGAATGATTCATAAAAAAAATATTTTATTTAATTATTTATGCTACTTTAAGGTAACATCACATTAATAAAAATCAAGTTAATGCATACGAACCAATGAGACTATTCATCTTGAGAAGGAACACAGAATTGCTCTCTCTAAATAAAATATTGTTTCTGAAAACAATAATGGAATTCATTTGGTTATACAGAGCACACAAAGTCCTTACCTCAGTGCTAAATGGAAAGGTACATGGACAGTTTTCACACTTCCAGAGATGGGATCAACAAGGCATATCTGGTAAGTCTGGGGCTGCCATCCCTGACTGGTCACATTGTTTAGACCCATTATTTTATAACCAGGATACAACAATCTGAAACCAACAAAAAACACGACCTTCACAGTGAAGAACAAAATTAGCAATCTTCCCCTTCCACCACTCTGAATAAAAAGACGACAAATTTTATAAAGCTAAGGTTTAACAACTGCTAAACGTGTTTATCAGGAAAGAACACAGTGATGAAACATGATAAAATCCCCTTTATAAAAAAACAACAAGCTGGGTTCATTAGAAACACTGCAGGCAACGCAAAAAACACCTGCTAGCACTTTCCACTTTTACCACTGGCATATCCACATATCACTTTATTGCAGCAGCTCAGCCAAAATTCCTGCCTACCAGCTGTTTCCTACCTGCAATATTTCCCCACATTGAAGGCTCCAACCCGAGGCCCTTGCTGCGTGCTCCATACTTCCAGAATGCCTCTCCTCGGAGCATAGATCACAAGGAACTGAGCCACTCTGCTGGGACCTTGTGCATTTCCAAAAGGAGAAAAATCCATCTTCTCAGTTTCCCTCTCATGAAGGTCCTCTACAGTCTGTATCCAACCAACTTCTGCATCACGGTATCCTTTGTAAGAAAACAGAAGTTCATTAGCGTACAGAAATTAAGACATGATTAGTACATATCACCACCCACTTAAAAACTATTCCAGCACCAAGGTCTCTTAAACTTCATTTCAAACTGTGCAACTCTGGCCAGTAGCCAGTCTCCTGTCAAGAACTGTGGTTCACTGACTCAGAGCAGGGCCCAACAGGACTCCTCAGAGCCAAATGCAGCCTCCTGCAAAGCTCTGGGGAGGAACAAGTTCTTCTGGGAGAAGCCACAAAAAAACCCCAAAACTCATCAGGTCTGTACTCTGGACATTACACCAATGCAAAAGCTTCCTGGAGAAGAAAGATCTGTACTAAGTGTCCAAATTTCTCATGTTTCAAAACAACAAAAAAAGTAGATTTAAGAAAGCAAAACTGCATAATCTATGAAATCAGATATGTAAGGTTTTATTCATATGTTTTTATCCATATGTTTTCATCATTAAAATGCAATGTTTAGTAACCCAATAAAAATACTCATCTTCCCTCTCTTTCTCTCTCTGGGTAATGTAAGTACTTGCCCTCATAAAATCTTCCTAAACAAAAGAGGCAGAGATGCTCTAGTGACATCACTAAACTATATAATGGTTTTGCAAATACAATGGAAGACTCCAAACCACAAGTGAAATACTAATGTATAAAACAAGTTTATAAAAAGATACATTACAACAATAGGTTGAAAAGTATTCACAACTCAATTAATGAGAAAAGGTATGATCCAAGAGATTTAATTCAGTAGACAGCTTTGCTTAAAAAACAAAACCAAAATAAACCAACACTATTTCACATCTCAACGGCTTCACTGGGGAAAGGCTGACAAATTGTAAACATGTGTCTGACTACCAAATAAAGCTTAGGACTCTAACAGTACTTCCCAGATAACATGAAGCTCTCAGTAACAAAGCAAAAAGAAAGTCCAAGAACATCAGAAAGCACATATGATAGCTAATAAGCTTCGAATTACAAGAGAAGGAGGGTGCACAGGGGAAACATGATTACTCTAGCTGTTAGAGTGTCGCTGAAGTAGCTACTATATTCATGACCACTAATCTTCTGAGTTGGTAGTGTGGGAGAGAGAGAGAAGAGCTAGAGATTTTCTGTCTGCTCTTAAAACTTATCTTCCATCTCATAAAAAGCTGCAAAATTTTAATTCCGTAGGAAAAGTGAGAGTTTTTGTAACATTAGGTATAATTACAATTTGAGAGCTTAATGTCTGCATTTTTTTTCAGAGAGCCCTCAGTTTAGAAGAGACTGAACACTCTCTTATTGTACAGTCACCATGATGAAATAAGAATCTAACAAGTATATCTTCTTACTGATTTTTCAAGCTTCTTTTTATTTTCTCAGCAGAATTAAAGATACTAGAGGTCATCAGAATCTTTGAGAATAGAGATACAGGTTATACCTTTCCACATGCGAACTGCAAGTCCTCTTGTAACGTCCAGTAAAATAACCCTTCCAAAATCATCTGTTACCGCTGCCAAAGTGTTACATGGAGAAAGACATATTCTTTCACCATGGCGACGGGAATCTGGAATTCCAAACCTTAAAAAAAAAGCAAAACCACTAGATACCTGTTTTTCTTCAGAAATAGTATACAAAGTATCTTACAAGGACTAAGATTTATTTTTTTAAGGTAACATCAAGGTACAAGCAAAATTAAGAGCAAAGTATGAAAAAAGGTTTTGTTCTGTCTACTGGGAGATCTTGTAGGTCTGTTAAAACCCTACTAAAAAAACCAAGTTCAGAAACTAGGATAAGCGGTTGCCTTGTCATGCAAGGATCTCAGAGCAGTGGGTTACTTTCTAAGACCTCTCCTGTTGCTGACTAGTCTTGAGACTAAAAAAAAATCAGGAAATACAATCAGGAATTAATTGTCTTTTATCAGCTTTCTTGAAAACATTAGGCTACAACCTGCTATTCCCCTTCTCCTCTCTCCACAATCAACAGGGAAACAGGACACCTCTTAATTTTTGTGAGGGGCTTTAAACTATCTTAAGCAGCAAGCACTTCATGCAGCTTCTTTGAAGCTCTTCAGTGATAAACTTCAGGACTGATACTCATGTACTTATATTGTTATTAAACTGTGCACTCTGCTCTTTTATAGTAAAAATGAACCCACACGTTGGAAGTGAAAAAGATGACTAATTTGTCCAGAATGATAAAGTGAAATGAAACAAAGCCTAAAACAATGACCTGCAAACTATCATCACTGCTTCAAGTCAAGAAAAATAACCATGTTCATCAATTATGCACCTTTCAAAAGAATTCAAACAACTAAAAACACAAGAGATTTAAGGCAATCGAGACGGTATGTAAAACTTACCTCACTGCCAATGGGGTTGCAGGTTCCATTTTTGGCTTCTGTTTTTGGGCAGGTTCTTCTTCATGTCTACTCTTCCAACCGAGCCAGCCACTTGCAATGGAAAAACACATTAGAAGAATCATACTAATGGTCCTAAAAATTCTCAAACTATTAAGCAGCTACTAAAACAAAAATAATTTAATGTATTTTTTTATGTTATTACCTGGCAGCATTAAATAATGCTGAAGTCAGTTTACTTGCAACTGCTAAGGCAACATGAGACAACAGTGGCTGTGAGCTACCCTGAAAGAAAGGTATAAAGTGTTTAGCAAGTCAAGAAATAGTCAGCTGTGAGCCACCCTGAAATGAAGGAACAAAGTGTTTAGAAAGCCAAGAAATAGTTCTTACACTGAACTCAACTGCAGAATAGTTTTTCAGGCCTCCTATGGACTTTCAGCTCAGAAAGCATAGCTTTAACTCTGCAAAATTTTAATTCATTGCCCCCAGAAAAGCCATTCTGACATCTCTTTACCATTTCAAAATCCTCCTGCAAGTCACTGGTAGCTCAAGTGTGTTTGTCTGCAACAGAAGTTAAAAAAACCCTGTGTATGATTTATCATGGAGAGTTAGCTGGTGTATGGCTTTGGCATCCTTGCAAATATCAACATAAGCAGTTTTTCATAAACATATTGGAAAAGCAAGTACAAAATAAAAATTCTGATTCAAGCATTTTCTATTAACATTCGATCCTGATAAGGACAGCACACACGTAGGGTCTGGATGTACAAGACCCACAGCTGCCTCGCCATCCTCCTCCAATACAACAGAAGAAGATGTAAGTGTGCTATGGGTATCATTAAGCATAAGTTGCAGTTTTCTTCTACAAGCAGTAGTTCCACTATATGAAATCATCACAGTATACTCAGGCCATATATGTACATCATCAAAGGCCTCCAACAATCCATTAGATGCATGTTTACAGAATCTCAATCTATTTTTTTTTAAAACCTTTGGTTACTTAACTGGCAATAAATTAACAACTGAAAAAAATAAAAAAATTACTTGACTATCACATTAATTTTAAGATGAGAAATTTTAATTTTTAGTAGACATTACTACCATATGTACTCCAAATCATTCCAGTTTCAGAAGATCAAGAAGCGGAAATGTCAGCATAAAATGAACATAGGAATACTTCAAAAAATACTCATACAGAAAAGAGAAGGATTAATTATTCAAAGTTTCAGCCAGTCATCTTTGTAGTACATACCTCCAGGGCAAAAAAGAAACCAGTGAAAGGATTGGATCCAACAGTAACATACTGAGACATAGCAGGTGGGCTGTTTTTTATAGCTGCATTATATCCACCTATATTGGAGGCAGTCTTCATTTGATCAAAAGGAGACAGTGTCATGATGCCTAACAAAAACATTAAAGTGAATGTTGTATACTTTCAGAACAAAGGTACACAATTGCTCTAAAAGTTTAAATATATTCCTGCCTTCTTGACTGACCTCCCAACACTTAGAGGGAAGGGAGGAGGAGCAGCTTTAACCACAGAAATTCCAAAGAACACATCAGAAATAACAAGGCCAGGCTGGATGAGGCTTTGAGCAACCTGGTCTAGTGGAGGGTGTCCCTGCCCATGGCAGGGGGGTTGGAACCTGATGATCTTTAAGGTCCTTTACAACCCTAGCCATTCTATGATCCTATGATTCTGTAATGTACTTAGGTTAATTACAAAGCATAGATGGGTTTGTTTAAAAAAAAATAACTTCAGCAGAGCCCAGCAGGAAAAACACATTTACCAAATTCACTTCACCTGCCTCGTTAGCCCCCTTCTAACCTCTTAGCTACTTTTGTGAAAAGGGTGGGAGGGAAATGAAGCTTACTGTCCCTCAGATCTGCCTGTCTGACAAGAACCTGGACTTCTACAAATTCCTAAGGAATAAAATCTTAGAGCCTAGAAGTCACTTTGTCTTTTTTTGAAAAGGAGCAATCTCAAATTTTACTTTATTTGCTAGACTCAGTAAAGACCCATACCAGGCTTAACCTGCCTGCCAGGCAGTTGTTCTTTAACCTGGCAGAAGTGAGAAAAACTGTATCTGATCTAGTCTCTCTTGGCTGTTTCTTACCAAACAAGAGAGGACAAGAAAGCTACAGCTGTAACATTGTTTCTCCCCTCAAGTGAAGCGGGGAGGCTCAATCTGATTAGAAGATAAAGTAAAAAATACTTTTTATAATGGTTAATGAGATCATTCACTATGACAGCTTTCTCCCACTACTTATTTCTATCCAGCCAGTGCCACTAAGTGCTCTCTCCCCAAATTTAAAAGCACAAAACCATTCAGTTTTATTTAAGCCAAATATTTTAAATGAAACAGAAATGCTTACCAATACTAGCATGGTCAACAATTGCATCCACATCTTGCAAACCCCATTTCTTATAAGCTAATGGTGGAGGCTGAACATTCTCATTGCCAGATGCTGCAGCTGACAGAAGTTGATAAAACATAAAAAATTCCTACTGAGTAAAAGACAAAGTAATAGCATAACAGAGGGAAAAATACTTATGCAATCTGAAGCCATAAAATAACCTAGTTTTAGATTAACATACATATAAACACCCACTGAGCTAAAATTGCCTTTTGAAATACATACCTTAATGAAATTAAAACATTTTAAAAAATTAACTGAATAAAATTGCACATGATATTCTACCACAATTATATTTTGTATTTGCAGAGAGCTTTGTTTTACTACTCATTTATGGTTTAATATTCTGTACAGTTTTAAAATGCTACTACAATTTATTTCTATGGTCTGGGCACGATCAAGTGGAAACACCCCTACCCAAGTACTTGTGAAGTCAGCACATTCCCTAGATATGTAACAGTGTGAGCTAAGAGCAGTGGTAACACTAAAGCGATGACTGCAACTCTTCAAAGCATCTATTACGACAAACATGAATGATCAAGAATGAAACAAGACATAGCGCTCTGTCTGCAGATATTACAAGAAGCTGCAAGTGCTTCTCTGCAAAGGGTGATCTCTCATTGAAAGAGTAGAGCATGTTCTGGTTGTGAAAGTAGATTGACATTTCTCATTATAGTGTCTGTCTCCTTATTTGTCGCATGATTCACAGAAGATCAGTTTTTCAAGTTCTGATTTACAAGTGTTTTGCCTTCTCTTATATTCCATGAAAATGCTACATTTTAAATAAGAAACAATTATTCGATAGACCCAAGGAACCATTTAACACAGCAGATCGGGATCTGAGCACAGCTAAAACCAGATGTCTAAGGAAGAATATTGGAAAAAGGACACATATTTGATACTTCCTCTAAACCAGCTTCTAAAAAGACCTTCTCAGCCAGAGGTAAGCTCTAAGCACTCAATAAACCTCCATAGCTTTCTTCTCCACTAATTTGTCAGTTTCCCTCTCAGCCCAAGGAAGCTTTTAGCATCCACATCAACCACAGTCAAAGAATTTCACAATTTAACCCGCCAGCGCATAAAAATCCATCTACTTTTTATTTTGAATTTACTATCACCTAGCTTCAGTTCATGCCACTTCACCCTGAACTGGAGGACAGAGTGAGCAATCCATTCCTACTGGCCATTGCCACATGATTCAGAGAACAGCTGTCTCATCACAGCAGTGTTTCTTGGTTCTTCACCACACATCCCTTCTCTGTAAGATTCAAGTCTTTGTTGAAGGGTGCTGCTGTCCCACCAGTTCCTAATGCTGTCATGCTGGCAGGTCCATTGTGCTTCCCACCTACACCCAGCCTCATTACTGTCTGCTGATGTGGCCGGGTGTAGAGGAAGCAAGAATCTGACAAATCTGAAGTTCAATGAGAACAACCATCAGGAAAGGGAGAACAATTAAAAACCAGGATCTGCTTAGCATTTGATCTTGCAGAACTGTAACAGCCCCATACTAGTGCAATCTACCACACAGTACTGTCAGGCGGTTCTCCTCTCAGCCCAGGAAACAGGCGCTATACTGTCAAAAGCCCTTCGACACTAACACAAAAAGCAGTGACCATTACCAACATCATCATCACAGCATTATCACTTCCCACAAAGTCTTACTGGGAAAAAAAGCATTTCACAGACAGTGAAACCAGCATCCTGACACACTAAGCAGTGCCTTAGCAGCATGCTGGGGCTTAACCCCAGTGGGCAGCTAAGCAGGATACAGCTGCTCGCTCACTCCCCTCCTAGTGCTCACTCCCTCCTAGTGAGACGGGGAAGAGAATTGCAAGACTAAAAGTGAGAAAACTTGTGGGTTGAGATAAAGACAGTTCAACAGGTAAAGCAACAGCTCTGCATGCAACCAAAGCAAAATAATGAATTAATTCACTACTTCCTATCAGCAGGCATGCGTTTAGCTTGTCCACTGCTGGACAAGCAAGGAAGATCCAAATTCCACCTTGATTTCATACTTAACAAACATAAGTAAATTTCATGTGATGTAAAGTCCTATTAACAGAGTCAGAAATAAACACTTCCTCTTAAACATACCTCTTGCTACCTGATTGCGGCATGCACGAAGGGACTGAAAGAGGCTGAAACCATCAATTGTCACAATTGCTGCTGGGTACAAGATACTTAATTCTTCATTCTGTGGAATAAAATGAGAGAAAGGAGACAAAAAAAATAACTGTTACTGTTCTAACAGCATCTTTTCTGGCTTTTTATATTATTAACTACACAAAGTTAATCCAGAGAGTTAATATCTAACAAGCCACAAGCAACAGAATAAGGCAAAACTACAGAAATTCAGTATTAAACCATCCAACATATAAGTAGGTTATTTAGGCACATAATTTTATATTTTTATCTTCTTTCAATGACTTTTATGCTTGCTTAATATATTTTAAGGATTAAGGAGAAAACACAAAAGTTACAGCAGCCTGCGAAGGCCACAGAAAAACAGGTTTATCTGGAATGCAAGTATCAAGGTTTTATGAGCCAAAACTGGATTAGTGCCTGTATTACCACTTGGGCACATAAACGCTAATTTGGTGATATAAATTCAAGACTCAAATTCCTTAATGCTTCTGTATTTCAAAACTGAACCTAAAATGTCATGCTATCACACAAGCATTTGCATCAAGCAAACTTGGAAATTTCTGTAACTTCATTAGTTTTCATGCCAACTCAGCCAAGAGTGAAGAAAGCTGGCTTTGCTACTAAATAGCTTGAGCTCTGCAAGAGCCTTCTCTGCAGTAATTACTCATAATGACATGCAGTTTCCTAGCACTATCTCCTATAAAGACTGTTTTAATTTCCAGATACCTTCTCTGTGAAATAATTAAGATAAGTTCTTACAAATGAGTACATATAGCTCGTGTTTGTGCACATAAATGAATAAACAGGAAATGAATGAAGCCTTCCTTTGCAAGGTTATCACAGAGAAAGATAGAACAAATCTATAGAGCTAACTAAATACTTCAAAAAATAAAAAAATTCTGAATCCTCAAACTATACAGGCATGAATACTTGTAGAACAAGAAATTCAGAGTATCTTGTTCGAAGGAATTGTCCACCCATCAAAAACTGGTAAAGGACATAGCGGATTCACACAGAAGACTCCCTTCCATACCCCATAACACTGCCACTTCGCTTTTGAAATAATCTGACAAAACCTGTTCTGTGACACCAGGATGCCTGGGAATTTCATAGGTTCTGCACTTAAGCTGCAGGACAGGATCTTCATTTAAAAGCTGTGCAAGAAGTAGGACTCCACTCTAGAAGAGAAAGAACAATAAGCATGAACATTTCTGTACCTTTTTTTAGGGAAGGCAAAAAAGCACAACCTGCAGAAACAGAAGTTTTGTAGAAATAGATGTTTATTACAATAGCTCGCTTATGGGCCTGCCATGCTGAGAAACATACCTCGGTGTAGAAACGAACATAGCCAGAGGTGAAGCCAACAACAATGCAGGTCCAGTCAGGACGGCCTGTGGAACTCCTGTTTAACAAAGATATACCAGAAGTTAAAAATAAATCCTGTTCTAAGCTGCAGACATACAAAAGTGTAATGTAAGGAGACTGATGATGCATATACATAAGATCAATCCTTACCTCTTCTGACTTGCCAATGGGATACACAATACACTACTCACACATTCACTAGAAACAGAAAGATAAAACTAATAAGCAGATTTTTTCTCCAGTTGTAAAATTTTGCTCTACGCAAGAGATCTTGCTGAGACAACATTTTCAATATTTTAATAACATATTAATGCAGCACACCATTTATCAAATTCATATTAAAACAGCAAAAAACACCCTTTCACTTTAAAGACATTTTCAATTACAAGTTCAAGTACCCAAATAGATTGCATGAGTGCTTACTACATTTTGTTAATGTTGTCTTTCATCATCAACAGACTAACTATTCTGCCAGTACTCTTCAGTAAAGATTCAAGTTAAATCTCATGTACTTAAAGGTAAATTTTTTTTTTAATCTATAATGATATGCCAAGAACAACAGCTTTTTTTTAAAGAACAACTGAACTGTACTTATTGAAATAAACTTTTGAAACACATTATGCAATTAGGTACATTTTATATCCATTGCATTTCACTGCTTTGTAATTTGAGAGTATTTGAAGAGCTAACATGGTCTTCCCAGCTAATGCAATAACGGAGCATGCTCAATGCATGGCAGGAAAGCATGCAGAAGGCAAGCAGATGAGCTTTCCTCAATATCTCAAATAAAAAGTTATTTAGCTGTTAGCATGACAGAAAGTTTTACACTCTCTGGGGAAACAGAAGCAGTACAGAAGTTTTATGAAAGAGCATAAAAATTCAGGATGACATCCCAAACAGCACTTAAAGCATAAATGCCCGCAGTACTGTTGATTATCTGCATTTCAGGCCACCTCCATTCCCCAAGGAGTAATTAAATAATCATTTTATTAAGACAATTACAGAAAAAAAATTTCCAAATGCAAGTTTGACATGGGCTGCAATTGAATTACAACTTCAAAGCAATGTTAAATATTTCAGAGAAATCTCATCTTCCAGTAGCAAAGCTTAGTCACCACAGAACGTTATCAGTTGAAGGCAACTTTGGGCATAAAAAACCCCTCAAGTCTTCCGACAATCTGACAGTAATTGCCATATTTACACTTCCACAGGAATAGAACCCTCACCTTAGGAAACACAAGCCTTAAATCAAGATGTAGTGAATATAACTGTCTATCTAAAGAAAGCTACCTGTTCCATATGACATTTTCTCTCAGGGCTGTAACAGTTATAAAAAGCCAACCCCCAAACAGAATTTATTTTCCTTTTACTTTTTTTAATAAGAGATGACAGAGTAATTTCAGTGGTAGCACGGGGAAAAAAAAAAAAACAAAAAAAAACTAAGATGCATACAAAGCAGTTCAAATGTGTGGCAGCAGCAGCTTTATAAAAAAAATTATGATTTTTACAGATTGGAAAGAGGGTGATTAAGTTAACACCTCCTGCAGCATACCAGAAGGTTGAAGCCAATAGGGAGCATGTTCAAAGGCAGACGGCAACTCAAGGCTGAAAACTTAAAGATAGCATGCAAAATCCTTTTCCATATGGGAGATTCGAGAAAGCGTCTGTCTGGTTATTTGAAGATAGATCAAGCAGAAATATTGTATAAATACCAAATGTATGACCAAAGCAAATCTTCCAAGTCCGCTAAATGACTTGGAGCCCAAAACCATTTCTAAAAGTGACTGAAACATGTAAGAGGATATTTACAATGGAGGTAAAAAACAAACAGTATAGATGAAGTTCAGTGTACCTCCAAAGACTTCAATCACATGACTGTTGCTGATTGCTTATAATTTGGAGTGACTTATTTATCAGAGTGATGACTTTATATTTACTTGAGATTTTTGAAAATTAAAATAAGTATTTCTAAAATGACTTCATACATTTCCAGTTGCAACATCCCCTAATTAAATTTAATCACTATTAGAGAAGTAGATTTTGAAAAAGGGTACATATACTTTTTTCTTTTTAGACCAGAAATGTAACAAAAAGCATGATAACCCAGACCTATTAAAATGCCTACATTATATGCAAATACACAGATTTGCACATAGAGTACCTCTGTTAATTTGTATGAACTTGTCCCAAGATATCACACTATGCATGAAAAGTGACCTTTACAGGTAATGTTTCTGATCACCCAGGTTACTCCATTTCTTTTTTCAACATTAAAACACACAAGACCATGAGTGCACTTGGATGAAAGCAAAAAAAAAAAAAAAAAAAAAGGCACAAGAAAAAAGCATATGCTACTAATTATTAAACAAGAAAATTACATTTTAATGACAGTTGCATTTCAACACCTACCCTTCTTCAACATTCAGAGAGCCACTCCAGCCCACAGCATATTGCATTTCTTCTTTTCCCTTGTCACTGTGCTTCCATTTAGCTGCCATTAAGAACAAAGACACCATCTATAAAACTGTAATATCTTGCATCTCCCAGATGTAGTTATATTCCTAATCCTTCTCTTCTCTATGAGACATCCTACCACACTTAGATTAAGTACCAATTACACATCTTGAAGACCATAAAAACCCTACATTTTTTAGTGACTTCTCTAAAGAACTCCCACCTTTTCTTAGAAATTTACATGGAACAACATACTACTGAAATTCTGAAATGCCTGTTGTCATTTAAAAGCATTTATACAGTAATATCTACTTAATCAAATTTTAAAAGGTTCAATTAATGCAAGAGAGATCCTTTGGAGAAAAGTACTAAGCAAGAACAAACTTCTTGTGGGATTACTGCTGAAGATTATCTTGAACAAATGGAAAATTTTAACCACCAAGAAAGGCATGGGAATCCTACATCAAATTTGATAATTTTTAATCATCCTGTTGTAACCAAGGTCAGAAAACACCACACTTTGTTATTCACAGGGTGCTATTACAGATGACATTTGATTGTTGAATCATCTCCCTGGTGCCAACGGACAACTAAAAAAAAAAAAATAGCGTTGTATGCCATTTGTCTGACATGTAAACCCTGAGACACAGGGACACTTCTGCCACTGTGGGTAAATTGTCACAGTGCAGAAGCAGTTCTCCAGCAGGTGAGCTAAATCATCTCCTTAATGCTATCTTTTCATCTTCTGTGAAAAATTAGTGACTAACCTACCTCAGGTCTGTAACACACAACTTTGCAAGGAATGACACATGCAGCATGACAACTCAATGCCATCTGCCTAATTATGAAACTCTGAGCTTCCAGAGCCTGTTTTTGTTTTAAAATGGTATAAAACTCGCCACATCAGGAGGTTTCCCTTCATCATGCTCACATGCCACCAAACTGCAGCTGTTAATAGCACCAGCACCCTAGGCAACAGCACATATGCAAACAGCAGCTGGCTGATCAGTGTTCATATATTACTAAGGGGACCTTTAAAAGAGTTCTGAGAGCCCTGCTTTAGCGTAGAATATAAAGCCACCCATTCTTCAAGATGGAGAAGAATTTTCTATCAAAGGTGGAAATCTTAAAAAACAATCTACCTCAATAGTCTGTCCTCCAAGTGACACTGGCTCACTTAGCTCATTTTTTTAATAGAAAAGAAAATTAAGATCAAATATTTATTAATGGCTAAAATTAATACAAAAGTTTTGTTTCGCTTATTGAGCACAATTAATATTGATATTTCTGAGCGCCTCAAACAACTGGGTAGTCATAATATACATTAAATTTAATTATTAATGATAAAATAGTTTTCTCAGATCAAAATATAGCTGAGAAGTAAAGACAAAGCAACTTACTTGTCAAGCAACACCTGGAAAATGCATGATGCGTACTATAAAACATTCCAAAATTCTTGAAGGTACAACTTGGGGGTAAGCAGGTTGGGGCAGGGTGGGGGAAAATGAAGACACAATCTTGTCTTGATTACTACCAAATATACTAGTATATATACTTAGTAGAGCACATACTTACGCACTAAGAAGACTGCTTTCTGTTCATTAGCTATTACCATCAGGTCATTTGTTGGTGACAAGGACAACACACAGTCCTGAAGCCAGTAATTTCTCTGGTTCTTGGAAGTAGATTCCTCTTCTTCCTACAGATAAAGCTTTAATCAATGTATGCAAGAATTTTTAAACACAGCAGCACTTGCAATATCGATGACAACATTTTGGCTTGCCCTCAATATCGGCACCAAATGGACTACTACCTATCCAGTCACTAGAGCTCCAACTTGCATGAAAAGCCACAAGAAACGCATCAACCTTGCACTAATTCTATCTACATGTTTACAAAACAGAAAACAAGGAAGCACTCATCACTAACTCTACTCCTCAAAAATCTCCTCTGACCAAAGAGACACTAAAAGAATGAGGCAAAGTTTTATTATTATTTATAATAATAAAAGATGCCTTTGACACCAACTATAATGCAAACCAAACAGCAGTTACCAGTTTAAAAAAGGGAATTTAATGTTATACTAATAATTCTCAACTCTGTGCTAGACTGCTGCACTCATTTTGGTGTATGTTCAGACATACAGACTCATGTATTTGTATGCTTCTGCATAGAAAACCCTGTTTGTTGTGGATGATAGTTCTTTCTTTTTGAAGAGCTTGACCTGGAACTACTAGCGACTTTGGAGGAAAACAAGTAAGCAGAAGAGAAGGTTGTCTTTAGCAAAAAGGGCGTGAACTACCTGGCAGAAGAACTTGACATTTTAAAGAGTGAAAAAGAAGACAATTTTAATTTAGCAACACCTACTGGTTCTATTGAATTACTAAATAAGTATTAAACAAAGCAGTTGTTTTCCTCATTGAGGAAGTTATAAACTTTACAGCACACCTTACAAAGACGTGGCCTGAGAAACACCCTAATTTCACAGTAATTACAGGGGAGCTGAATAATCATCCTATTTAAAAGTTTTTATATTCTTGTTATTCTTGACATCAGCATCAGTGGGATGATGTCTCCCCTCGAAGACACCATGCTCGTTTCAATTTGTTCCTCAGCTCAGCTGAAAAATCTGTTGCCCTGCTGAACTAAGTAGTTACAAGGATACTGCCCAACTCCTTGGGCATACTTCCTGCATACTGAGATAAAGACAACAGATAAGAGTTTTGTTAGCAAGGTCAGGTCTGGATTCCTCAGTCTGCCCCCTTAGCTCTCTCTGACAGGGAATAAATCAAACAACTCTATTCAGATAACTCATTCAGATGCAGAGGATTTCCACAGACAGTTTCCCTAATATTTTATGCAAGTCAGCTGACAGCTAGAAGTCTCAGCCTTACCAACAATTATAGACTAGTTCTGTTATTCTTAGTTGAACTAGTTGGGCAGAGCAGTGTTCCTCCCCCCTTGAAAGAGCAACCGTGCTGCCCCATCGACATATGCAATTTGATGCCTCCTGTAACACCATACACACACAACATAAAAGGAGTACTATGTGATCATTAGAAAGATGCTTGTGTCAGTGGTTCATGATTTAGGAGTCTTTGATTTATATTAATTCATGGTAGATTATTACAACTCCACTGCCATGCCCTGCTGTCTCTGGCTAGCTACAGGACTTAAAAAAAAAAGACTTTCCCAGCTGCAGCAGCACAGAAAGATATACTCTATTGAGAAAAAACCTACAGAATTCAAGAATATGAGTAATTAGCACAATAGGTAACATCCAAGCTATATTTAGAAATAATTATAAGAGCAAGGGACAAACAAGCAGTCACATTTCAAACACTGGTCAAAATCCTTCTTGCCCAAGTGGTAACCATACAGGAGAAAAAAACCACACACATAAACAAGTGGAAAAGTCTTTCAGAATAGGCAAGTAAGCAACGAAAACACACACACATATATATATAGATATGAACTTACAGGTTCTTGTGATTCTGCTTCATCCCAGGCTCCCCAGCCACCATCTTCCCAGCCTGTTGATTTGCCTGCTTTAAGCAAAAAAAGATTTTTTTACATGAATACAGCATACGCAAGGAAAAACACAACCAAAAAGGATTGCTTGTAGTTGTTTTCCTTTCCCCAACATTGCATTATAACTTTGTTTATGGCAGATATTAAATGAGTTCTACAGAAAGAACCATGAAGTGGTAGAAATTGGTGCCTTATTTCTCTATATTTACTTCCATTTTTGACACTATGGAAAAGTAATAACAGAAGATGTAACCCAAGTACAAATTGAAAACAGGTGTAACACCACCTGCATCACATTAATTCTGACAGACTGCATCTAGAACTCTGGGTAAGCAACATCTCACAGCACCCAGTACAACAACAACGCCTCTCTGCACTTCACTACAACAAATTATTCAATCACATTTGTCTTTTCTCAGTCTCTCCACAGCCATTTCAAGAGAGGCAAGACATATTTTTAGCTTTATACAGCAAGCTGAAGCAATGAGTGAGTGCATAAGGGAGGGAAACCCTATGCGTCCAATTGACAAAAACTTTCTCCAGCAGGTACAGAGACCTCAGACCTCACTGCAAAATTTAAGCTTTAGCCTGATTTATCTAATTATTCCTACCCCAAAGACAACAAAAGCCCCATCTTGTACATATCAGGCAGCCACAGTAAGGGATGAGCAGGCTCTCCGACCCTTCAGGACTATGTATATGCCCCTAGACATTCTTCTGACTGGCACAAGACCACCTGTAACACACCACAAGAACCACATTTGCAGAATTTGATGAGAAACAGTATTTCTATACATAAGTAAAATATCTTCCTTTCCTTAATGGCAGATTTTGGCTTGATTTAAGTCAATTGCAGGATCAGCCAGTAGCAACATAAGCTCATTTTAACAGGGAATGACAGTCCATGGAAATTCATCTGTGACAACAAAACATCTGAGCCCAGGATAATGCAGACCCCACCACCACTCCCAAAGCAGCCAAAGCAAAAGCTGAAGCTATGGCCTCTGAGGGCAAAATGAGCACAAGGACCTTGGCTATTCACCTCTTTGCAAGACAACACAGACGAAGATTAACGAGACAATGATTAGTTTCAATTATGTCATTCAGAAACCTCAGAGAAACCACAAGCTTATAAAATACCTCAAACACCTGAGAAAACAGAGATTCATAGAGACAGGCCTACTTCTCAGCTGTCTTATAAGGGTTAATGTACTAGTGTGATGTAAAAACCATCTGAAATTCTTTCATCCAAAAATACAGAATTTGATGTGACTATAAAAGCCTACGTAAAGGGCAATTATGCACAGGCATTTAGTAGTAGAAGACATACAGTTCTCAAACACCACCATCATTGGGACCCTCAATAAGACACTAAGCACCACTGTGGACAAGCACCGACTTCTGTCAGAAGTACTAGCAGGAAATCTGAGGCAATAACATCAATAAGACTTCAAGACTTGCCCAATAATTTCTTTCAAGTTTTTCACTAACTGATGTCATGGCTACTTTGACCTTAACAAGACGTTTAAATACTATGTCTCAAATTATTTTCAATTTAGTTTTAAACAAGCAAGATTTTGCCATTTTGGATGGTCAAATAGTATGGACAAGAAGGTCTATATCAAGAACACTCAAATTTGATTTGGTTTAAAAACTCTGGTTCCTTTACCACCAAACAAAGTTGGAATCCAGTACAACAAAACAGAAATCTGATTCTGTCTGTTTAGGCAGATTTTTAAACTTTTGTATGGCTAATGAAGATTAAAAAAAAAGTAGCTTAAGACAGAAACTTTCTACTAATGCTGTGGAGAAGGTATTTCACAAGACTATAGAAGACAAAACACACTCCATTAATAACCTTTTTTAAAACTGAAAGGCCTGTATCATTTACAAAATGGGCAAGTCAGCCAGTTTTACTGCATCAACACCAAAATAGATCTGACTGCACAGTTATTACAGGCACAACTATATAAGCAACAAACTTCCCAGGGTCATGGTCTCATCTTGTATTTGAGGTTGAGAATTTTCCAGTGTACAAATACATAAAGAAGAATTATTGCAAATACTGTTGAACACAAACCACAAGAAGAAAACAGTAACTAACTTCAATGTTTAGCTTAAGATAGCTAACAAAATTCTATTTCTGTTTGCATTTTATTATCTCAAAAGGCAACAAAGTCTCCTTCCTATAAAATTCATGGAGGAAAGAAATGTGTCAGTGTGCCACAGTCCAGAGATAAACATAATCCTATCCAAGAAACACAGCTGGGGCCAATGCCTTCCCTACAGCACAGAGCAGACCAACCTTTCCAAGTAACCTCAGCCACTTCAATTCTGAGACTGAACACGCAACATAAAACTTCTAACCGTGAGGATTCTTGTTGCCTCTTTGCGAATATCTACATTTTCATGACTGTTGTCATCCTCCTCAGATGAAGCTAGATCAATCAAAAAATGATGGAAAAATGGGGTAATGGTGAGGCACCATCCCACTGATTAAGCTGCAGAGATCTTTCAGAGCTGTGACTTGCTCTGTAAAGCCAATATTACCTCCAGCTTACAAGGGTTTACAAGCTTCCTCCTTCATATCCATCCTCCACATTGTACAGACTGCATATGCTAATTGTATGTATTTCTCAAGCCCCTCCATGCATTCTTTCCTTTCTTCCATACATTAATTCTTTAATTAATTTAATTAATTTAATTTTTAAAAAAATTGTTTCCTTATCCATATTATTCAGACACTTCGCCTATGCAATGGCTCCTAAAGCAAGGTATTAAACAACAGACAACTTATCTCTGAAACAATGGACAAAGAAGAAACAGAGAGATACGTGTGTCATACTTTAACTCAAATCACACTGTTATTCACCTGTGCCAATTAATTATAAAATACCCCACAGAAGGTGTCAGCTTGCAGAGACTTTCCCATATGCCAGCACCTGATAAGGTTTGGCAACTGAGAGACGACTTAGGATCCAAGTTCTGTTTACAATTAAGATTTTGAAGAAACACCCCACTGCTTCCTTTAGTAACGTTACAGATCAAAACTAGCAACTGGGGAATGAAAGACATGATCTAGTAACCAATACCTAACCAAGCTCTAAACAGTTCTTGACTTGCAACATTCATTTTTTCCAGTTCATTGTTGGAAAAAAAACAAGCTTTCCTGTTCAAATCTACATTTCTTTTAATCTCCATCTCTGAGTAATAGTAGATGTCTGGTAAACAGTTCTCCCTATTTTGATAAAGCACCAGCAATATGCCAGATTTTGCTTTATTTAAGACATTGCAAAAATAAAATTTGCTGGGTCTACAACAACCACTCAGTATTTCAGCTTTCTTTCAGGTGCAAGTGACAGCTTAAGTTATAGCAAGAAAGAGGAAAGTCTATCCAGTAAAGCAGCAAAAAACTCAGGTGCTAAGAAAGTCTGGACAATGTATTCTGACACAGTTCTGTCATGTGTGTTGAGAGCATGGCATTTAGTCGACCCCATATCTCAGACTGTATTAGCAATTACAGATGTAACACAACACAGGTAGAGTACATTGTTTTATATTTTACAAGAAAACTGAAAGAAAGGTGTTGAGAAGGTATAAATGTATCTAATGCAATCTGGAGAGGGAGGATCTTATTAAAGAGGAAATACAAAAGAGCTTGTCAGAAGACTTTTCAACAGGAATACACCAAATTCAATAAGAAGGATATAGGAACAGTTAAGTGCAATCTAGAATTTGATTGTCTAATTTTTTTTTCCCTTTGTAACCTTGTTTGCAACTCTGAAATAAAAAGCCTGGCCTTCTGTATTTCTGAATTAAATTAGTTTATCCAGATAAACTAAAGTGTGCAAGTACAACTTGAAAGATTACGGTTAGAGGAACTGGACTGAAAAGCACTTTTCAGGATGCTGTCAATGTAACAGGGCTGCATTTTGGAGAAGAGTTTCTCTGCCAGGCTTAAACCATCATTCCTACTGTAAAAAGAAGCAGCAAAGTGACACCTCATAGCTCTGAGAAACACAAAAAAAAAATCAGGGGGTTGATTTTTTCTTCCCCCCTGCCCCAAATAAGCAGCAGCATCTCAAAGCGGTGTGCTGTGCCACATACTGCTCTGCAGTGACCAGCTCACTATCACAGATGCAGGTATCACTGCTTGGGAAATCCCAAGGATGAGTTTCTTTTTGTTTTGTTTTGTGTTTTTTTTTCTTATTAATTTAATTTAGGTAATGGGAGATAAACACATTTGGCAAGTAAAATATCTGCACACCTGAAAAGTGCTGATTTTTGTTATTTCATATTAACATTCCCAAAGTTTAGCTACCAGCAGTCCAGTCCTGCCCAGCTATGTCACTGAATTACTGTCATCAAGCCTATCAAATGTTTTAAAACACACAGTTCAAGCTCAGAGTCTACTGGAAGAACAGAGAGACACATAATTTTAAACAAACTGTAGCTAAATGCCTCAAATTCTAAAGATTTTTAAAAAGTTACGTCTTTCTTGCTCAATTTTCTGCTCTTTTCAATTAAACATCCATTAATTTCTTAATGCTAAAGTTCTGCTATGCCTCTGAAGCTTTATCACAGTTGGCAAATAAGAAGGATTTTTTCCTTCATGTGTACGCCTCATTATAAACAGCTGTATAATGGAGTTAACTGTTACTGGTATTTTCTGATCTAGCCACCACGCGTCCCAAAACATCGTTAACACAGCAAGCTGTCAAATTAAATGTAGTGCAAATACTTTTGATTCCCACTGTTTACACATTTGAAACAGCAATTTTCAAAGGCATTTAGACACCACTAGGCACAAGCTTCACAAAGGATTTATGTGTCATCATTAGCATTAACTTTTCCCAAGAATCTTAAATTCTCATGCTTTATTAATCCTGTTCATTAAATATGAGAAAAAGCATTCAAGCCCCTTTTTTCTTCCTAGAGAATAAAGGAATGGGAACCCCATATGAAGCATTTTAACCAGCTTACTCCATAATACTGTTTTTATTTAAGGCATATT